GCTCTGTCGAAGTTACGGTAATAGGAAAAACAAATGACGTCCTCCTGATGATCATTTAGTACATTTTCTAAAGCATCGGATTCCAGCCAGTCATCGGCATCTACGAAAGCGATATAATCTCCTGTTGCCATTTTCACACCTGCATTCCTTGCAGCAGAAATTCCCTGATTATCCTGAGTGATATGCTGTATCCGTGTATCTCTGGATGAATAATCTGTCAAAATTTGCTGGGTAAGATCTGTCGACCCATCGTTGATACAAATAATCTGCAGGTTCGCGCATGACTGGTTCAAAATGCTCTCCAGACACTGTACAATATACTTTTCTGCGTTATAGCAGGGAATGACGATGCTGATTTTTTTCATTTATGACTTTAAAAACATAAAATAAGTAAACAAATAATAAGCAGCGATCACATAGGTTAAACTGCGGTTCTGGGTTGCCGAAAAACGGTACTTTACAAATGGATAAATAATAACAGGGGCCATCAGGAACCACGACAGGTAAGCGAAGCGGTTACTGAACGCTGCACGGATCACCAGAATCCAGAAGGCATTGGCAATCATAAAGGTTCCCCAGAGATGAATGTAGAAGCTATCGGTGATTTTCTTTTTGAAAATAAAATACCAACCTGCAAAAGCCGCTGAACCAGAATACAATAGAAAATCCCATCGAAAGCCCGTAGAGGAAAAACTTGATCCTTCCCCTTTTTCCAGACCTGTCAGATCGGCATTCAGATAATCAGAAGCGCGGGCATCTCCGAAGCCCAGACTGCCAAAGAAATTTTCCCAGAAACCTCCTCCGATCAAGGAAAGTGGAATCGCACCCAGCCAGATATAGAGATAAAGCTTAGGGTTTTTATACACTCCTGCAGTTACGAATGCAGCAATAGGAATGATGACCGAACTGTGAATTCCGTAGCTCAGCGCAAAAAGCGCATACATCAGCCACTTTCTCTCATACCGGATCAACGCTAAAATAAAGACCGAGGTTGCCATCCCGTTCCTTATCCCGTTCGTCCCGTAGGACCAGAAGGAAAAACTGGCGATGAACATCAGAAAAGCATAAAACCAATATCCATTAAAATATTTTTTGGCAAACAGGTAGCAGGGAACAATGTAAATAATGTCCACGAGAAGAAAAAATACTCTGGCTGGCAATAGCTGAGCACAGAACACCATGAAGTAATTGAACAGGTAATCCTTTTCAATGGTCATTGTACCGCCGGACTGCAGTATTTCATATCCTTTATTATAATTCACCATATCCCCAAAACGGTAGTTGACTGGCCGCGTTCCCATGTAGAGGATCACCAGAACCATTACAGGAATTCCGATGGAAAGGGACAGCGATTTCACCGCGGGTGCTGTAAGTTCCGATGATGACATCAGGGTTCCCGCCACCACCAGGATGAGCAGCAGTAGGAAATTATAATAAACGGGGACGTACATCCATGTCGGTAAAAAATCAAACATACCTACTTG